ATAGATAGATAGATAGATAGATAGATAGATAGATAGATAGATAGATAAGTAAATAAATAAAATCTAACAAAAGCAACAAAATAACAACAAAAAACCTGAAATTTACCATCTTAACTATTTTAGGTGAACAGATAGTGGTATTAAATACCTTCGTTATGTTGTACAACCATCAGCACCATCCATCTCTATAACTCGTTTCTTATAAAACTGAAACTATAACAACAGTTCCCTGCTTCCTCTTCCCCTACAGCCCCTGGCAACTGCCATTCTTCTGTCTTGCTTTTTGACTCTAAGTACATACCTCATATAAACGGAACCATACATATTTGCCCTTTTGTGACTGCCCTAACTTCACTTAGCATAATGTCCTCAGTGTTCATCCTTGTAGCATAAGCTCAGTTATTTTATTTTTATTTCAAATAAAAAAATTTATTATTATTATTTTCTAAGTAATCTCTTCCCCCAACATGGGGGCTTGAACTCACGGCCCCAAAGTCAAGAGTCACATACCCTACCGACTAAGCCAGCCAGGTGCCCCAGGCTTATTTATTTTATTTTATTTTAATTTAATTTAATTTTTTTTTAGATTTTGCTTATTTATTTGACAGAGACAGAGAGAGAGGGAACACAAGCAGGGGGAGTGGGAGAGGGAGAAGCCGGCTTCCCACTGAGCAGGGAGCCCGATGCGGGGCTCGATCCCAGGACCCTGGGATCATGACCTGAGCCGAAGGCAGACGCTTAACTGACTGAGCCACCCAGGCGCCCTGCAAGCTCATTTATTTTTAACCTACTTATTTACTTTCCAATGTAGATAAGAAATTTCATAATACAATTTTCATTTTCAGGTTATCTTTATCAAAATGGTAGTCATCTCAATTTCTCCTATTCAGTTATTCTATCGATATGAATTGAGAGAGAAGTTCTCCCAAGTGAAAAGCTCTGGGTTTCTGCAGTGTTTAGGGCCTGGAAGTAAAACATTGTGCCAAATGCCATGAAGTATCGTTAATTCTCACATTTGGTGAGATGCAGGAACGACCCCAAACTGGGAGATTTCCAGCAGCCTTGGCTAGCAGCCTACACCTTGTGCTTTGCAAGTTTTCCTCTTCCTGTCATTGGAAGGACACTTAGTTGTGCCACAGCAACCGGAGGCTTCTTCAGTGATGAGTGTTGTATTTAGGGGGAAGCCCTGGGAGAAAGGGCAGAGAAAGGGTAGGCCTCGACAAAGAGTCCGTGTGATCATTTCCATGAAAAAGAGAAAAAGTAGACAGCATCAGACAGATCCGGCTGACAACGAGAGATTGAAATTAGGGTTTACAGACCATTTGCCCTGAATCCTAAAAAGTAAGATTCCTTTTTATCAAAACGTGATTAATACAGAATGGTATAAAGTAGAACACGAAATTGTTTTACTTCTCCCCCTGTAATTAAAAATACAAGGTGAAGTGTGGATCCGTTGTCTCAGCTTCTCAGGACCTAGAGGGAATGATGGATGGAGGACTGTCAGATACCATTTTCCAGGAACCTAGACCGTGAGGGCAGGGACAAAAGAGGGCAAGTGCAGTTGGAAGAAGGTATTTAGCCCCTTTCTTCCCTTCTTAGTTGCCTCTTGAAGTGGATCTAACGAGAGCAAAGAGACAAGATTTTGAACCATCTGTGGAACAAGCAAGATACAGCAGCTGCCAGCGGAACGTGGCTCTGGCAGCCTCCGAACCACCGGAGGTGACCTCGCCTTGCAGACCGAGCCGCTCAGATGATCCGCCCACTGTGGTGCAGGAGGAGAAGGCCAGCAGCTGCCGGTGCGGCCCTGGTTCCCTTGCCGTCCTCCCCTCCTCCATTTTCACGGGCTGAGCCAGCGCGGTGGTTTGTGTGCCCCCTGCGGACCGGCGCTGCGCTCGCTTGGGACTCACCCGCCTTGTTCTCTTGGGATGCAGCCTTCGGCCGCCTGCCGCCGTGAGCGATGCCACGTATGAGCGGAAGCTCCGCCAGAAACGGTTGCAGCAGCAGTTCCGGCAGCAAATGGAGGAGCAGCGGCAGGCGCAGCTGTCCGCTCCGGCGGCGGAGCAGAAGACTCCGGGTGTGTGAGAAGGGTGGGAGCAGGGGTTCGCCCCCAACCAGCCCTCGTAGGACTTCTCTCAGGTTCCACGCCTGGTAGAGGAGTCTAAGCACTTAGGACCATGAAGTCCGGCCCTGCATTTCCCCATTTTTAAAGACACTCCTTTTTTTAGGGAAGGAAAGGGCCCTTGACATAATCTAGAACTAGACATTTCAGGGTAGAGAACGGTTTTTTCCTTTCAGGTACTTTGGCCGCGTTCGCTAGAAAGCCTTTCTCAGTAGTCCGCGAGTAGAAGGCAGAATTGTTTGACAATAATGGGGGCTTTGGGCTGTCCTTCATCTATGAACTTCAGTTTACTTGATCCAGGCCCAGTGGTAGTAGCAGACTTTTTTTTTTTTTGTCTTTCCCAGAGAGCAGAAACAAAGAAAGGGCTTATCCCAGACCAGCTGAATTTTTGCCCAGCTTCTCCCTAAGAAAGATTCAGAGGACTTTCTTCGTGTTTAGTTCATTAATATTCCGCTCAGCACTGACAGGCTTAATGTGGGAAGCTTACTGTGTTGGGGATGTTCTTAATAGTAACTATTATTCTGGATCTTGAGCTTCCAAACCATTGCAGAAACTCCTGGCGGGGAGGCTGCTTCCCACCCCGGATCCCACAGCCAGAGCCGCGGTTTATATTGCTTTTACATTTTGAATTTCTGCTTAAGATTTTTGGAACAAAGCTTATAGCTTTAAAAAGTAAAAAGTGGACCAGATAGCTTCTAATAACCCCTCTATTTTTGCTGCTTAAGGAGAAATGAACTCCCCCCCACCCCCCAATTTGGTGAGAAGGAAAAAAGGACAGTCTTTTTAGCCTCTTGTAGATCTGTAGGTAGGGACGGGGATCAGGAATTGCGAATCTCCTCCTGGCTGCGCGAGGAACTGGTGGAACTCTAGGCAGCTTTGCACTTCTGAGGCGCTCGCTCCAACAGTTAAGTGACCCTGTGGTTTTGTCCTTCCTCTCGCTCTCGCTCGCTGTCGCTCTCTGAACTCCAGCAGCACTGTCAGCACCTCCTCCCAAGCACAGCACTCCCGTAACTGCCGTTTCCGAACCACTCACAGAGGACTTCCTTACAGGTCAGTAAGAGCTCTGGGCATGCCCTAAGCATTGATCAGTAAGTACCTAGGACATGCACTTTAGGTAGTCACTAACACATTTTAAAAGAGGCATAAAAACCCTCATTTTTATCTGTTGTATAGCCCCGTGAAGTTTTGGGGAAAAAGAGGACCCCTAATGGACTGATGGCAGTTCTGAGAGCACACACCCAACTCCTCTGTTGTCCTAAGAGAAGCTTCACTGTACTTTTAGGGGTAGGGGCAAGAGAAATCTCAGGTGCTGTCCTGGGCCACGCACGACGTGGAATTTCTCATGACCAGTTCTCCCCAGTGCTTTATGTGAGAACACTGGTTGATGCTGCATTTTCTCATGATCTCGGTCCTCGCCTCGCAGACAGTCTTGGAATGGGTGATATGGATCTAGATGCAAACGACAGTGATGTCAAGTCCTTGTCTAAAGCAGAACTGCTCCAGACCTCTGCTACACCAGTCCTGAAGAACCAGGTGGTAACCTGGGACAGGACCCCACAGAACCTCTGTCACCAGAATCCACAAGCAAAATCTGGACTCTCGCACCTCCAAACTCACAACAGCAACCGAGATGTAACAGGTAGCAAAGTGTTTAGGAACAAAAATTGAAAGGAGAACTTGGGTTTAATTCTCTGCATTTTAAAGGAAGCATGACATTCCGTTTGAAGAAGGTGGGTGCTATCGTGCCAGAGGAACAGCAGTCCAAGAAAATGACAACTGGTTTATGAGCCACAGCTCTTCCTTTGAGGTCCTGACTAGAGGTGTAACCCCTTGTAACCCTTGATAGTAGTAGGAAGCTTAACCACGAAATGAATGAAGAGCTTTTCCTTATTAAATCAGGCCCATCGTGTTTGGTTATTGCAACTGGATCTAGCATTAACAGAGGGATCTGCCCTCGTAACAGTTTTCATTCTTGGCTTTTTAGTTTGTTAGGATTGTTAACACAGTTCAGACATTATTAGCTGTTAGTTTATTCTTTATTTGAAAAATCACAGCAGCCACATTTAAATTATTTTTTCTCCCACAGGAAACTGTGGTATCTATGGGAAGAACCAGGACTTGAAGAAAAGGAAATTGGATCCATCCTAATGGAGGCTCAGGTCACATCCTTGGACTTTGTCACTAAGGGACTTTCGAAGACTACTTTTACGTCATAAAACTGTTCATCATTCCTAGGGAATGAACTTTATTTCCAAGGATTTACCTTGCTTCGTTCTGAACTTTACCAGAGGATTTGACTATTGGAGCCTTCTGCAGGTAAAGCTGAGCAGTCAGAAAACAAGCGCTCTAAGAAAGCTTGTCACACTCTGCATCGGGGAGGCTCTGAGATTAAATACCTTTTCTTTGGCTCTTGAGGTTCTTCACTATTTATTCCTAAGCTACTATGTTAGTATGTATGGAAATTTTAGGAATCCCCAGTGCCTACCTGCCTTCAAGCAATATTACTAAACACCAACTTTTACAGCTGCCTATGTGAAATTATTGTAATATCTGCCTTTCACCTTGGCGCTCAGTGTTTAATGTTGTCCACGCCATACTGTGTATCCTTCCAAGAACAAAAGCTACCATGGTGTTTAACTACCTTGCATCAATACAGGCTGCGGTCTTCATCTATGATAATCTCTTGTTCAAAGGTTTATGGTGTCACTATCCTGCAGTTTTTTACCTAATCAAGTAAATAGATTCTAAGACCAAAGAAAAGGCATTTTAAGAAAGCAAAATAAATTTTCCTTTGTAACAAAAATAAAAGTGGGTGTTTGTATTTCTCCATTTCAGATGTGAGATATAACCCATCTTAACATAAATGGGTTTTTTTCATAGTTTCAAATGTTTCATAATCCTCCCCCCCCCCCAGCCATAATGAGTTTGCAGGTTCTTTTTAAGATGCATCTTGGGCTGTGCCCTTTCTCTCATCTTCAAGCTGTGGCTTTTATTAATTTTTAGATCACAGATCCATTTGTGGGAAGCTATGAACCCGATGCAAGGAACTCTTAAAGTACAGGGAGGTAGCCAGACATTTTTATTCCTATGGAAGATGAAGAGGCGCTAGCTTACCCTGATTTCCCCTTTATCTTAGGTCTCATTACATGGATTTGGTCATATGTTCATCTTTTGGTTTTGACATCCTTACCATTTTTTTTTCCAGAAAAAAAATCTCTCCCTTGTCTTGAAGAATAATCTTAGTTTAGTTCAGAACTGCTACTTTAAAAAAGTTCCTGGAGTCAGGAATCCAGTTGTAAGTTGCACACAACTCAAAACTGAGCTAATGAGATCATGAAAAAGGCATTTGCTGGAAAGAAAACCCCACGGCTCAACAAAAGCAAGTTTGGTTTATTTGAATGGTTTCATTAAATAAGTCTACAAAGGTAACAAACTGAAGCACAAAGCGCAATCTTACAAGAAGCGCAACACCCAGAGTTAGTGCAAAATGTACAATTAACGGCTGCTGAGAAACCCCCAAGGTTTGAATTGTTTATTTGCTTTTTTAAACAGTGTACATTGTTAAATAATGTAAGGAGAACATTTATAATTCAGAAAGATTTTTGTAATGTGGAAAAAGATACTCAAAGTGTACTATTAACACAAAAATAATTTAAACAGTTCAGTAGCACTAGTTCATTCCTCTAGGCTTCAGTTACTTCATCCACAGGAGGGGAAAAAAAAAATCAACAGTAAATAAAACCAGTTCTTACTTTTTGTGTGTAAGTGATCTCAAAATTAAACCAAAATAACAAAACATTATGTGCTGCATTTGGTTCCCTCGTCCTCTGGTAGAAAGTACGGTTTCATTCATCTTAGGTGGTCTGTTTCTCATTTACTTGGCACCTTCTTCGTTCTATCCTGACTCTCACCATCTCCTCAAGAATCTTAAGCAGAGAATAAATAAGTAAACAACTTCGAAGCAGGGCTTGGAACCCCTGTCCTTTTCATTTCTACTTCTCTAAACCTTCAGCTTTCACTTGCATCTTTGGGACCTAGGCTAACTTACTAAAGAAAAGAAGGCCCATGAAGGACCAACAGGAAAGGCAGCCAACCAGGCTCCCCTACTGTGGTGATTCCTGGGGTGTGCCGCTGAGGTGGCTAAGAGGCTGGAAATGTGTCCATTTCCCAACTCCAGAGTCAAGAGAAGAAGCACCCCAAAAATTAGGAGTCCTAGCTTCTTTCCCCATCTTCGGAGATAATAGAGATCCCAAACATAGCCAATTAGAGTATTTCCTGAAAGCTCTGAAAATAATAGAACTGCCCATTACAACTAGGCGTAGCACTACATAATACTGATTGGTTGCAGTTATTACTTAAGGGCATTATTTGTTTATATGAGAATGTGAGAATATCAGTTGCATTTCTAGAAAAAGAGGTGGCACAACAGATTTATGATCCTGCAACCATTTGGACATCACACAGGAAACGAGTAGGAATAAGCATTCTTTCTTACAATGCTTAATTCAGATGTGGGTCCACTTTCCACAAAATACAGTACCCCAAGCTGAGAAATGCATGATACATTTGCAACAAGAGGAAAGCAATCCAAAGTTTTTCTTAGAGCATCTTTCTCCATCTGTAACTTTTCACTATCAACGTTTCCCAACTTAAAAACTAGCCCCCACCCCCTTCCCTTTATATTCAGCCATTTCCACTAGGTCTTGTCTGTCAAGCCTGGCTTAAGTAAGGCTCATGGCACCCTGTGGGCCAGGCAGCACACATCTTCCTGACAAGTCTGTTCTCCCGTTCTTAGTCTTTCTTTTTCTTTCATTTATCACACACCACCCTTAAGCTTTTAAATTGCTCAATTTTGTTACCACACCCCTCCTTACTGTTCCTGAAACAGAACTTTCTGCTTTCAACCACTGATGTCAACTTAACTTCTCACCCTGCTCATCTTACACCTGCTCTAGACAAAATTGAATGACTTAAAGAAAAAGAAAAAAAAAACTTTCAGTTTCCCTTTGGCATAATCCTCTGCTGGGGTCACATGGACCTAATATCCTTTCATTCGCCCTCTGCTGATCTGGGGTCTGATGAGAAGTTGGTGCTAATGGCAGAAGCAGTAGAAGTCCAAGGCACTAAAATATCCAGCAAGCAATACTGGGAGAACAGAAGTATTCAAGTACAGTAATTTATACAATCTTACATTCACATTTATTTACCTACTACAATGGAAATACAAAGGAAAAAGCTAAAGTGTCTCAATAAGTAAAGGACAGAGCTTGTTTTTTTCAACTTTTTAAACCTTTCATATTTTACTCTTAAAACTACTGTTGTCCAACAACATTTATATATCACAGTGTTTCCACATCAAAACTGATGGCAAAGTTACATGTCCGCAGGGGACTTAATTTTTTTTTTTTCCTAATTGCTAATGCTGCAGTCAAAGCTGCTAATATCATTTGCTTAAAGCACTAATGACCTATCATAAGAAAGGGTTGAAACCTCAGTCCCCTGGTGTTTTTCACTGGGTTCTAAAGCAAAAAAAAAAAAAGAAAAAAAAAAAAAAAAAGGGAGGGGGGAACAGGGTAGGAGAGAGCCCAAAAGTTTTTTTGTTTTGTTTTGTTTTTTTTTTTGTCTTGTGGTTTAGATTCTTGAGGGAATAAGGGATTTGGGGTGGGTACCAAAATTAAGAGCTCCACCCATTTGAAAATACAGATGGGGTTTGGTTTTCCACTGAGCTCTCTCGTAGCTTTCTGATAAATGATTCTCTTTTCTAGCCCTCACTATTGGGTGTAGAGAAACAGGAAAGCATGGTTTGAAGCCGCCCCATCACAAGAAAGCTGCTCTTCTTGTTCCACTCCAATAAATGGTGAAGGGGGAGGGAGATTCTCAATTCTGAGGGCTCTAAGCGGTATTAAAAACATTCCTTTCTGGCAAGAAATAACCAGTTAAATGCAGCACTAGTAGTTAGTATATAGGCTACTTTCCCGTCCCCCCCCCCACCCTTCAGCATTCCATCTCCTGCCCCCAAATCTACTCAAGTTAATGTCTCTAGGTCTAAGTGGTCCGCAGGTTGGAACCTGGGGGGTTGCTGATGGATTTCTGCAAATTGCTGATGCCGAAATTCTGTAAGGAGGCAGTTCCCACAGGCTGGAACTGGCCAAGTGGCTGTGGTGCTGGGCCACCTGTCCCACTCCACTGAGTGCCAAAGGGGGGAGCTGGAAAACCGTACTGCTGTGGGGGGCACATAGACTTGGTGAAATGACCTAGAGAGGTAGCTGATGCTGCAGAGATGGGGGCAGAACCACCCAGATTTGAGGTCATGGAGATGCACAGCTGACCAGGTGCAGAGAACTTCCTTGCCATTCCAGGGCCCTGAAAACAAAACAACTACATGTCAAGTTTGGTGTGGGTATAACTCAGAGGTGAAATGGGTGGTATTGAAATCTAATTCTAGAACTGGGGCTGTTCGAGCCTTACAGGGTATAGTAAAACCAAAACCAAACCTTTCATAATTATTGGCTCTTTACACTTGCCAAGTAAGGGTGCGCTTGGAAGTGGGCAGAGTCACGTACATGTGTATATACGTGTATACAATTCAGGGCGTTAAGAGAAAAGGGGAGAAAAAACTGAGTTGACAAAGAGGGAGCTAGGGATTCAAAGACAAGGGTAACTGGGTTGCTACAGAAGGCTACAGCATGAAAGGCTAAGCACTAGCTAGGTAGTTGATACCACTTCTGCTTCAGATGTGTGCTAAGCGATACTCTGCTAGATTAGGAAAATGACAAAAAGGGAAGACTTGCCTCGTAATTCATGTGTCCTTTGCTTCCTCTCCTGCCGGAAAGATTCATGGCATCTCGGGCCCAATTGTCTACCAGCTTGTGCAGGTCATCTGTGAACGTGCCCTTCCTGCTGGACGTCATGGCAGGAGGCTGAGCTTGGGCGGCTTGGCTGTTCACTGCTCCCCCAACGGTGTTTGTGCTACTGGTCCCTAGAATTAGAGGAAGCAACAGAATACAACCATTAAAAGAAGCTTGGGTTAGAACGTCAGGAAGAGGGAAAACTTCACAGGATGATGAATGGCAAGCCACTGAATGAGGAGAGGATAAGCTGGGAAGGCATGCGAGAGGGGAAGGGTCCAAGGGTTTGTTTAGCCACATGTTCTGGCATAACATAACAGGGTAATGAAAACAGACTCTCTTCAGGAGTTGTGGCAGATGAGGCTAAATAACTCTGGATGATAGTAGGCACAAACGGGCAGGGACCTCTTTCAGCCCATTCACATGGTATCTTAGAGTACTGAAACTTACTTTTAGTACCCTACTCCCAGCACCACATTGATGAGGGAGGTGCGCTAAGGTCAATGAGGCTCTAGAATGCTGCAGAATGCAGGGCAAAAGAAGAGGATTTCTTGAGCCCTGAAGCAGGGTTAAAAGCAGGAGTTAAAGGAATGCAAAGGTAGATTGCTTGGCCCAGGAAAAGATGGGGTTCCCAAACCATGTGGATGCTATGCCACAGTCTTCAGCCATTCTTTAACAGAAAGAGGCAAGAGGAGAGATAGCATGCTCTGTTCAAAAACCTTTTTCACCTGGACTCATACACACAAATTCATAAACATAAACTCGGGAGGAATGAAGGCTTTGACCTCTCCCAATTGCCTGAGTTAAGAACCAAGATTACTCCTGAGGAAGGTTCTCTGTGGTGTGCCTGAACCGTTCAACTCCAGGAAGACATGGTTTTCCTGATGATGACCTCAGTTTCAACTGGTTCGTGAATTCTCACCCCTCCCCTTCCTTCCCAGAAGAGCAAGCACTCGCACGTGGAAGCAACAGGAACATTCAGCAGAGGTAGGAGTGCAAAGGGAAGGAGGAAGCTTTGAGGTTATGATGAAGGAATTCTATTTCTATGGTTTGATGAGAAAGGAAGAAGGGGTCCTGCCTGATTTCGGCTCTGCTGGAGGGCACACTGAAGATTATTCGAAGAGGCAAGTTTTAGGGAAGAGGGAAAGAAAAGTCATGATCTTGTTTTTCTTCCTCACCCCCCACTTTCTTACCAGATCTCACATTTGCTGCAGAATAAATAAAAGCTACTAAGGTAAGTTGTGAGCCACTAGGCCTTCAGATATCCAAGTAATGCTGGGGGCTAAAAAAAATGCATACATATTCCTGCTTTCCAGGTCCAAGCAGCACCAGAGCGCAGCAGCATGCCCGAAGCAACTCTGCCATTTACAAGCCCTTGATAATCCATTGCTGGTCTCAAGTCAAGTTTAAACCCCACTGCCCTGGGAACGGCACACACAAACATGTCTGTATTAGAGTAATAGCTAATTCTGAGGTGAAGCTGCAGAGTGAGGAAGGTCACATGCTTCCTACCACCAAGGCAAGACATGGATCTACTGCAGTGTGTGTATTAGCTCACTTCTTAGTGCCCACTGGAGCCACAAGGGGATAGCTACTGCACATACAGCGTAAAGGGAAGAGTAAGTTTCCCTACGGTACAGGAAACCCAAGTGGAAAAAGATAAAGGCACAGGAACAGCCTGCCTTGAAAAGCAAGAGAGACGGTGGGGAAGCACAAGCAATGAGGTGGCAGTCGTGACAGTGATAAAATCTAGAAAGCAAGCATATCACATGCATGAGGACTATTTTCCTGTTTGAATAATAATTGCTTGGTGAGCTTGATGATGAGTGAGACAATCAAAATGAAAACCAGAAACAATCACAAGTGAGCAGAACTATTAAAAGCCAAATACAAGAAGCGCAGTAGAGGTGAACAGTGCTTATTCACAAAGAGCTCATGCTCAGAGTCACACCTCTCTAGTCACCTCTGATGCCGTGAAGCTCCTTTATAACCAAATTTAATTTTTCATTTTAATCCGTCTTACACACTACTGGATTCTGAAGTGGGGTTTATACACCATGATGGGGGGAGGGGTCAACCATACAGTTACCCTTCTCATTCTGGCTTCTG